TTTTAATATTTATTTTTTAGTTCTCGGCGGACACAACATCTTTGTTGGTATGTGGTGCTGAGGATCGAACCCGGGCCGAACGCATGCCAGGCGAGCGCACTACCACTTGAGCCACATCCCCAGCCCTCATATTTATTTTAAAATGATGTATTATTTACTTTTTTGTCTCCCTCCACCTATTCACATGTAACCTCCACAAGGGCAGGGAATTTTGGTTACAGACATAATTCCAGGGACCTTATTAAATGCTCAAAACTAGCAGATATTTATTTTTGAGAGAGAGAGAGAGAATGAGAATTTATTTATTTATTTTTAAGTTTTCGGCGGACACAACATCTTTGTTTGTATGTGGTGCTAAGGATCGAACCCTGGCCGCACTCATGCCAGGTGAGCTCGCTACCGCTTGAGCCATATCCCCAGCCCAAAACTAGCAGATATTTAAACTTCTAAAATTCCTTCCTACTGTCTCAAAACTTTCTCATTACCCTCACTCATTTTCTTCAGCCAAGTCCCTAAACTTTGGTCCTTTTGAGTTCAAAATACAACCATTCCTCTTTTGAAACTCTTTGGCATCCTTGTTTCCATCTTATTCAATTTTGTTAAGTCTACAAACATATTAGAATCTTCTACTCCAAAATAAAGTCACTTCTGCTCACAAACTCTTGAGAATCTGATTCTTTATATCTGCCAGTGCTATCAAAATTACCCAATTAAAACATTATGAAAATTGTGCCATCACCTTACTGCCAAATCTGAATCTTTTAGAGTCCCCAGTCTTCTCAATATCTTCATGCAGCAACCAAGATCATAGACCTCTCTCTCCAGTATGTTTTCTTTCTCTGAACTTTCCTCTGAGTATCCTGTTCTCTCTCCTGACTACTTACATATTCTTTTTTTATTTTTAAAGGAAAAGCATTCTTTTTTTCTTAACCTTTATTTTTTTAAATTTATTTTTATGTGGTGCTGAGGATCAAACCCAGTGCCTCACACGTGCTAGCCAAATGCTCTACCACTGAGCTACAACCCCAGCCCCTAGTTAAATATTCTTGTATAGCCTGTGTGGGTTCCTCTAAACCTTGCTATTATGATGTACTTGTGTGTTTTCCTTTATATGAAAGTGAAATTCTCGAGGACAGAAAACTAAATCTTATTCCCTTGTATCTCCAATGCTTGGTAGTACCCACATTAGTAGTAGGAACAAAGTGAATGTTTACTGAATAAGTAGGTGAATAGGGTAGGTTCCTGGGTTAAAAGTATTTTCCAAAATGACATGCCTGGCCTCCCCTCTATTTCAAGGAAATTATACACTTCTATGTAGAAGACGCTCAGATCTATTTGCAGCTCTAAGCTCTTTCTGGAATTCAAGCACCAGAATTCCAATTGTCATTAGACAGCTACAGATTATATTAGCATCTCAAACCCAGTACTATGTCCACATAAAAATAATCTCTTTTATACTCATAAATCAATTTTCTCTCCTCTAGTTTTCTGACTTTTGGTTAACAGTTTCATCATTCTTAAAAATTTCTACATCAGAAATAATTATCACAGTAGGGAACTCCAGGGCTCCCACTAAATACTATCAGATTTAACTTTTGCAAAACCCTGAAACTTATTAAAAAAATGTATAAAAACTAGGGCAAAGATTAGTGAAGAAAGCTAATGCTGTGTGCTATGGGTCATATTAAAATGCCTGCCTACCATTCCCCATACTCCAAGTCAGTATAAGGCTGTAAGGGCACCAACCTGCACTCCTAAAGCCTGAGGGAGTGACACAAATCTTTAAACAATTGTGATTGGGGGTTTCAACTTGTCTAGCAATTCCCGGAAGAACTGGCACAATGGTTTGCCTTGGGTTTGCCTTATTGGAGCATTCCCAGGGTTAGGGTGTCTTCCTGGGTGGCTTTTAACTAAATCATTGCATTGATTCAGCAGCCTGTGGCAAGGAACAACAATTGAAACAAGGAACAGACAGATCACAGAAAGTCTGAAAAGGAAGATGATGGGAAAAAATATACATAGAATAATAAGGGATTTTTTAAAGCTCTTGTAAATACTAGATGTTATGGTTTGGATGTGAGGTGTCCCCCAAAAGCTCACATGTGAGACAATGTAAGAAAGTTCAGAGAAGAAATAATTGGGTTATGAGAGCCTTAACCCAATCGTTGAATTAATCACTTGATGATTGAAGGAAGGTGAGGCGTGGCTAGGGGGAGGTGGGGCACTGGGGGTGTGGCTTAGAGGAGGTGGGGGCACTGGGGGTGTAGCTTTGGGTGCACAGTTGTATCTGGCAAGTGGAGATCTCTCTCTGCTTTCTGATGGAACCACTTCCCTTCACCACACTCTTCTACCATGATGTTCAGTCCCACCTTGAGCCC